TTTTGTGTTTTTTTGTTTAAATTTTTGTAGGGGAAAAAAAAAAAAATTAAAAAAAAAAAAAAAAAACTTTGTCCGACCTGCCGACCCTATGCTGAAATTTCATGTTACCGGAAACACACATCTTTTTTGTTTGGCCTAAATAAAGCTGAATTGTATTGTATTCTCTTTGGCGTAGCTCCATCTAGAGGATCCATAACGCAACTGCAGACACAATTGTAGCTTCTATTCTATGCGCCTTATAATGCAGTGCACCCTATATCTGAAAACTGTTCTAAAACAGGACATTCATTGAAGCTGCGCCTTATACTCCGGAGAGCCTTATAGTGTGTAAAATACGGTAATTTTAATGCTGACATCATTTTTACATAGACCTCTTATATAGGTGCCAATGTTCTGCCCAATCATGTGTCCCTCTAACGGTGGGAAAGGACAACAGTGGTTAAGGTTAAACATGAAGAAAGAACTTGGTTAAGTCTTGACAAGTTGCACTTTGTCATATTTAGTCGGGTGATCCAACATTGGTTATGCTGTTTGCATTTTTATGTCGGAGGAAAAAAAAAGGCTAAAATCGCTTTTATTTGTTAAGCAATTAATGAAGGGTCTTTTTCTTTTAGCGAACTTGTTCACACATCTGGTTGAGTGTTTTGTTACAATACCTGTATCAATCCAAAAAAAAAAAAAAAAAACCCAAGGCATGGTCTAAAAATTGCGCTTTTTCTTGTTTTCCAAAAATGTTGAAATTTTACTTCAGCATTTCTGCTCTGTGGCTGGCAAGATGTCTAATCTTTACATTCTTTGAAACTGTGCAGAATTTGGAAATTCACCCTATATAAAAACATTTTATATTATGCTTCTGGCAACTTGGAGGGACTGGTGCGCCAGATTATATAATTGCATCTTAAAATTCAAAATTTCTCACAAATGTGTTTGTCTGGCTAAGTCTTCATGACTGGTTAAATCCATAGTTTGATTTCACAGGTAGAAGCTAGTCGTGACGTAAGGGCAACAAACAAACTATCCGTAATGGTGTTCTGACCGAAAGATTTAGAATCAATCACACTGTGAGACACAAAGCGCCACAATGGTCACTTCTGTTCTCCAAGAACAAATTCTGATTGCATGCTTCTTTTTTTTAGCAAATTCTTGTTAATGAATGCTGTCAATTTAAAAGCATTTGTGCTTTGCGTGTCTTTAGAGCACACAGTGGTTGTGTCCAATTTGAACACAGCACCCCGCACTCTGCTAAAGAACACATCAAAGGAGTTGTTTATCAAAAAGCTTTTAGTCTGTTGGGGCTCCAATAAATGCGTCTGTCTGTCTCTCGGCCGGTGTGTCAGTGTGTGCGACAGCAACAGATTTTTACGTGCATCCCACAATGTACGTATGTGTGTTTGCTGATAAATCTTTTTACGCCAAGGCCCCAGTCAGCACATGAAAAATGGACAACAAAATTGAAACATTTTTCTGTTATGTGTGCTTTGTGACGCTTCAAGATTTCTAACCTGATAAAGGCCATGATCGAGTAGGATGATCTCGGTCTTCTTGCTTTTTTGACACTTTCGAACCAACACATTGCCAGGGTGGGGGTCACAGTGAACAAAGCCGTGGATGAAAATCATTTCACTGTACATCTTGCCCAGGTTTTCTGAAATCTGTTGAAAAACACATTGCAAAAGAAAGGTTTTTGCAGAACAAAACTGAAAGACCTTTCGGCTTAAAAATAAATAAATAAATAAATAATCAATCACACACACACAATCTGCTGTTCCCATAGTTTGTTGCACCCACTTTGTTTTTCCTGCCTTTTTTATGTTAAAATACGGTAATTAAACATCGAAGATTTTTCCTAAACAGGGCAGCATATGGTTAGCACATCTGCCGAAACAGTCAAAGGTCTTAGGTTTGAATCCCAGTTCTGACTTTTCTGTGTGAAGCTGGCAGTGTCCTCCTGCTTGTGTGAATTTTCTGTGCAAATGATGGTTCCCCACACATTCCTAAACAAGCATGCTTGGATACACTCCTTACAAATGTAAGTGGATGTGTAAATTGTCTGTCTGTACAATGCATGCCCCTAAGTGACTAACAGGGTGTCCAGAGTTGAGTCTCATCCAAAATAGGCTGAAAATCCAGCTCACCTAATCTCTAATAGGATGAAGAAAATAGATGGATGGACTTTTGCAGTCACGACAATAGCTTAAACATTTTAGTAGATCTCATGTCAATTGTCTGCTTTCACTTTAAAATGTTACTGGCAGCACGTGCGCCCATTTTACATTCGAGACTTGAACGAGCAGCGCATAAAATGTACAAATTAACATTAAAATCAATGACAAAAGTCCTGCACTCCTGTACAAACATCCAGCCTGTTATGTTAGAGCGGGGATCGGCAACCTGCGGCTCTGGAGCCGCATGCGGCTCTTTTGCGCCACCCTCGTGGTTCCCTGGAGCTTTTTCAAAAATGTTTGAAAATAGAAGAAAATGGGGCAGGGAAATATATTTTTTGTTTTAATATGGTTTCTGTAGGAGGACAAACATGACACAAATATTCTTAACGTTTTCCAATGCTGTAAAAATGTGCCGAATAAATGTTAAATTTCAACATTTCGGTCAACGAGGAGTAGCATCTTAGCCTGTGACACACGTTTAGCAGGACGGGATGCAGGTGGCTGTTGTAAAAAGAACCAAAAAAAAGTGGTTCATGTAGAATTCACCCAGGGTCCTGGCAAAGAATGGGAATGTGGAGGGCCGAGAGAAGCATTTTTAAACGGCACACATCAGCTATGATAGTTAACACGCTGCAAAAGTGCGTCCCATGCCTCGTTTATCTTAGGGGCCATTATGGCTGTTGCTCATTATGGCATGCGTGTGTAAGTGCGTGCATATGCGTGCGTGTGCTGTCACGGGTCGATCTCGGGAGGCTGGTTGATCGAAAAGTAGATCTTCCGTTAAAAAAGGTTGGGCACCCCTGCACTACAGGGGAAAAAAAAACATTTTAACATGAAGGCCCATTGTGTATTTGTAGCCAACTTAGTCATTTTGATAGTAGGCTAATTTAGCTAGTATAGATACATACAGCATGTGTTGCCTTCATTATAAGGCTTTTAATTTTTTGCGGCTCCAGACATTTTTTTCTTTTATTTTTTTGGTCCAATATAGCTCTTTCAACATTTTGGGTTGGAGACCGCTGTGTTAGAGTAACTCAGTAATTAGTTTCACTACATGTCTATCTGCTCTTGAAAAATCGGCCAAACTAACTCTTCCAGCATTCTCAGTCTCACGGTGATCCGTGCCACTGATTATGTTACCTCATTGACATTGATGCCATGCGCCTTCATGTACTCCCTGTCATTGACTTGCCCTCCGTCAGCAAATTCCATGGTCAGAACCCTCTTCGTGGACAAGTCCCAGTGGATTAGAGGAACCTAAAAAGAACAGCAAACTGATTTATTATTAAAGGGGATATGTAAAAAGGTGAATCAATCAAGACCAATCAAGATCCATTCGGGTGGTGTTTCGTTTCTTTCTTCAAGTCCCCGACCAGTTGCCAGGATTACACTATCCTACATAAGTGTCTAAGTTGTTTGTTGATTCTGCTTAAGCAACTCACCCAGATTTGAGACCACAGCCCCAAGAAGCTTAAATCCACTGGTACAAATGTTATTTTCTACTATCCACATTTCTTTTAGCTCATCAGTCCTACACTGCATAAACTCAAATGTAACTAAAACAAAACAGATTGACTTCCGTCTCACAGTTCTGAGGTGTGTAGTTTGAACCAGGGCTTCGGCTTTCCTGCAGAGAGTTTGCATGTTCTCTCCATGCTTGTGTGGGGTTTCTTCGGATACTCAGGCTTTGTCCCACTTTCCAAAAACATCTTATGTAGGCTGTGTTGTCTAATTTACTGAAGACTCAAAATTACCCGAAAGTGTGAATGTGAGTGAAAATGATTGTTTGTTTCTATGTACTTCATGGTTTCATCCTCCTTTCGCCCAAAGGCAGCTGCGATAGGATCCATCTCACGTGTCCCTACTCAGTTTAAGAGGTACAGAAAATGGATGGATGTAATAAATATCTGAAATCACAGCACACTACTTTGTCTGCCAATTTATTTCTTAGCAGACAGTTTTCCTGTCAGAACATGTCACTTGCTCCAAGCATTTTTCAATTCAAATTCTTAACAAGGTATCATGACACTTTCTTTACTTTAAGTTCTTTGCGGCCCCACTAGCATCCAACTGTATTTCTCTTCTGAAAATCTAACCATGGAATTGGTCAGCTGGACTCTCTACACCATTGTCAACATTTTCTTGATGAGAAGAGCAGGCAGAGGGGAGCCGTCTTGCCTCTCAAGAACATTGCTGCTCAGTACACTCACGATTCCTGGAATAAGTGGAAAATTGTGCCTATCAATTCTGTCTGTTACGGATGTGGAGGACATGTGCACTATTGGAATTCTGAACACTGGTATCCTGCTTTTTGGATGTGGCGGTTTACTGATCTATCGCAAAATTCAGCAGATGGGAGCAAGTGAATTGGGAGTGAACAAGCTGCCGGTCTTTTTTTTTGGTGTGGGATGAGCGATCAACACTCAGAGTCATGTGACCAGTCAATCCAATCGCAAGGGGATTACGATTTTTGAGTTGCTTTGCAAAATGGCTACCACCGAGGAGTAATTGTTGATGATTTCGATAAAATCATCCAAGAGAGAATGGCCAACAATGATGATGATCACATAGATTAGCTGCACATTTTTCAATTTCAGAGTTGCTCACCAACAGTTTGTTTTGTCCAGGGAAACCAAGACAATGAAAGTATTTGTAAAAAATAATGACATTCATTTCAGCTACAAAAAAAAAAAAAAAAAAAAAGAAACATGGAGAGACACCATTCACAGAACTTTCAACGGAGTCTCCACCCCCATCACTCTTTTTTTATACTCTTCTTGGGAGGAGAGCGCAATCAGCACCGTGGACAGCGACTCCTTCAGATAACAGAATGAAGTCGAGTGCATGAGCAAGCAACTTTATAAGATACATTTTAGCACTGTTAGATGTCAAATTCCCATTACAGATTCTTTTAAAATAGAATGCAAAATGAATTGATGAATTTGAACTGAATTGATGAATTTGATTGAAAAAATTCTACAAAGATTTCCATCCCTTTTTTTACACATAAACATGGCGTTATTTCATTGACAGTGTAGAAAATGCAAATATATATATATAATGATTGTGTTACTAATTTGGTCCGTAACTTGCAATGGTAAGGAAAGGATGTGTGCTACACTGCAGTTAGAGAAAGGGGGTGTCCTCCACTGTAGAAAGGCTGGTCTCCAGTTGACTGCAGGCTGCAAAGTACGAGCTGCAGGTGATCGGGTTATGTGATTGACAATGATCATCATTGTCATCAATCAACATGCCGATCACATATTTTTCAACGGAAATTATCTGATCGCAATTGATGGCCAATAAATCTGAGCTACTCCAGTAATTTCTTTATTCGCAAACCTATGAGAATCCAGAGTCCCAAGTGGATATCAATGAATTAATTTATCTTTTTTGGAAGAAATGACAAAATCATTGTCAAGTTGGCTAACGTAGTGTGGCATGACTACCGTATTTTCCACACTGAAAGGCACACTGGATTGTGAGGCGCACCTTCAATGAATGGCCTATTTTGTAATTTTTTTTCATATGTTGGACGCACCGCATTATAAGACGCAATCTATAATGCATCCACTAGATGGAGCTACGCTCGAGGAAATGCCAACAGAACACTAGACCCTGATTTATATAGCGACGATCAAATCTCAGTAAAACTTATTTAATAAAGCAGCGACACAGTTCACTTAACCAACAGCAAGTTATAACATTGACTCGTTAACGCTGAACTCTCTTGCCGCTGCTCTATTTCCGTGTTCAACTACAAAACCGATCACGATAAGTTTGAACTCTGCGTTGTAAGCATGTCTCTAGCAAGGAGCCATTTTGGGGTTGACATATTACCGTGATGACTATACACAAGGCGCATCGGATTTTAAAGCGCGCTGTGAGCTTTTAAGAAAATGGAAGGCTTTTAGGTGCGCCTTTTGGTGCGGAAAATATGGTAGTTACAATTGTAGATGTGAGAACTAGAGTTCCGTCAGTTACCTTTAATATCATAGCATAATAGTTTTGATAACATTTGAAAAAATACTGTTATCGCGGACGTTATGATACTGCACAATTTGGTAATTGACCTATCCCAAACAGGCACGATACACTGTGAAATTAAATAATAATGAACATGGAATCGTTTTTCATTAGTTATTTCTGTGCACTCAATCAAATTATAAATGTGTGGCGGGAAAAAAAAGGAAATCAACACAAGTACTGCATGTTGAAGACATTTGACATTATTAGACACTATTAAAAAATACCGGTAAAATATTAAGTACAATGGTCTTAAATTCAAACACACCTTTCCAGTTTGTAATCACCTATTCCCGTAAAGAGAACATGGTTACATACCAGATAAGTATTAAAAATAACCCCATAGCCATGATCCACAAATGAGAAAAAGGAAAATCAAATGTATTTACCTTGAGAAAGGTCAAGTGGGCCAGCTTGTTTGAAACAATTTCTGAATTGTGTCCTTCATTAAGGAAGTTCAGCTCCAGCGGCATGTTTTTCTTCGCCTCTTCTACCAACCACATAAAGGCAAAGTCAGGGAAAAGCCAATGGACTCCTCTTACCAACATCTTAAAAGTAGAGCAGAACTAAATTCAGTATACATTACTGGGAAAACAAGGGTAGTTAGTAGATATTTTTGTACTGATATTAACTAGCATAATTTAGCATAATGCTGAGGAACTGTGAACTCATTATGTGAAATGACTACATAAGAAATGTTTTAAATTGAAAGCTTATTGATTTTTACAGTGCAAAGTCATAGTCTCTCAAAACATTTGCCAATAATAAAAACACAAACATAGATACACATACAGTGCCATAAAATAGTATTTGCCCCCTTCCTGATTTCTGTGTTCTTTGCATATTTATCACATACAAAGGTTTCAGTTCATCGAACCAACTTTATTAACGCAGAGACTACCCAAGCAAATACAAAATGCAGTTTCTAAATGCCAGTTTAATTAATTAAGACACCAAAAAAATAGAAAACCACAATGCCCCTATGTAAAAAAGTAATTGCCCCCCCCGTTGTTAAATCACAAAGTAACTGTGACTAATGACAGTTAAGCAGAGTTCAATTTCACAGGCAAAACCCAAGCACCACATTTGTTGAATCAAGAAACCACACAAATAAAATCTGTCAGACAAAGTGAAGTAGGCTATAAGAGCTCAAGAAACAAACACATCATGCCACAGTTTGAAGAAATGAGAAAATCATCAGTATGGAAAAAGTTACAAAGCCATTTCCAAGACTCTGGGCTTCAGCAAAGGACTGTCAAAGCCATTATCCACAAATGGATAACACTGGCAACAGTGGCAACCATTCCCAGGAGTGGTCACCCATCTAAAATTACCCCAAGAGTGTGACGACTCATCCAGGAGGTTGCAAAAGAACCTTCAACAACGGCCAAAGAACTCCAGACCTTGCTGGCCTCAGTTCATGTCAGTCTTCACGACTCTATCATAAGAAAGACACTGGTCAAAAGTAGCATCCATGGGAGACTTCCCAGGCGAAAACCACTGCTGTCCAAAAAGAACACAAAGGCTCGTCTCACATTTGCCAAAACACATCGTGATGATCCTCAAGACTTTTGGAAAAACCTTGTTTAGAGAGATGAGTCAAAAATAGAACTTCTGGGAAGATGTGCAGCCCATTACATCTGGGGTAAAAATGGCACAGCATTTGTCAAAAAGAACATCATCCCAACAGCGAAACACATTGGTGGCAGTGTGATAGTCTGTTGCAGCTTTGCTGAAGAACCACACCCTCAGCAAGTGCAGTCTCTGCTGTGCCTTCTTCACAATGGTTGTTGTGTTTGTGATCCAAGTCAGGTTATCTGTAATTTGTACACCTAAGAAGCAAACCTCAGAAACCCTCTCCACAGAGTCCCCATGGATGAGCAGTGGGTGAATATCTGTCTTCTTCCTTCGATAGTCCAGTTTGTTTTGGTTGTTTTCTGGATTGTTCTTTTGACACCAAAATGACAGTTGCTCCATCTCATCATTAGTATGCTGGTTCATCCCCCAGAGATGAGACTCTCCACAGTGGTATCGTCCGCAAACTATGATACTGTTATTGTGGTGGACGGGTACACAGGTATGAGTATAGAGGGTGAACAGCAGAGGCCCACAGCCTTGTGGGGACCCGGTGCTCAGGCTAATAGCCACGGAGAAGTGGGTGTCCTACTTTCACCCTCTGGGAGGAGTCCATCAGGAACTCCAAAATCAGGAAGATCAATTGAGACACTCCCAGCTATGACTGTTTATTTATCAACCTGTTGAAGAGAATGGTGTTTAATGTTGAGCTTAACTCCACAAAGAGCAACCAGGTTTGGTTCCCTGACTGCTCCGGGTAGGACACAGCAGAGTAGAGCTCTCCACAGCCACAGCATCCTCAGTGGACCTGTTAGCTCGAAAAGCAAACTTGCAGGGACAGAAACCGATGTGGCCCAGGACTATTTTTTCGAAACATTTCATGGCTGTGTATGTAAATGTCACCGGGCGATAGTCATTCAGTCCACTGATGGTGTTTTTCTTTGGGCGATGGTGGACTTCAGGCAGGGAGGAACAGTAGCCTAGTTTAGGGACCGGTTGGTGAAGACCCCAGCCAGCTGTTCAGCCCAGTCACTCAGTATCTGTCTTGAATTGTTGTCAGGACCTGTGGGCCTTTCTTAGGTTTTCTGTTCTCAGTACATTCCCCACATGCTGCTCCTCCAATGTCAGCATGGAGCTGCTGTGGACTGGTAGGTGTAGGATATCTGACTCTGGTGGCTGCAGCTCGAAGTGAGCAAAGAAGGCGTTGAGCTTCTTTCCTAATGAGGTGCTCTGTGGTCCACTTGTCAGGCAGCTGGGTCTGTAGTTTGTGATGTGCTGGGCATCCTGCCATGCCAAACCCGACTGGAATCGTTGTTCTGGAGGCAGTCCTCGATCTTCCTCTTATCGGCAGCCATGGCCTCTCTGGTGCCTTTCTTTAGGTTGGCTCTAGCAGCGCTGTACAGCACCCCACCACCAGACCTGAAGGCGGCCTTCCTCTCCCGGGGCAGGTTCTGCACCTCTTTAGACATCCAAGTCAAGTCAAGTACAACTTTATTCTCAAATGTGCTGTATGTGCAGCACAGATGAAATTTCTTCCCTCTCAAGACAACATAAAACAAGAGGAGCCGCTGCGGGTGTCCGCGCCGCCATCAAAAGAAAAGTTCCAGGGATTAGTGTTAGGAAAAACCCTGATGTGCTTGTCCACGGTAATGAGGTCTATGCAGAACCTGATGTATCATCCTGACACTCAACTGTGGAAGGTCCCTGTGGAAAACTGTGGAATGAGCATTCCTCCGTAACGTTCCTGTTTTGTTGCCCTTTTCCCAGCTTTTTTGGAACATGTTTCAGGTTTCAAATTCAAAATGAGCGCAAATTTGACAAAACTAACAGACACATAAATAAATAAACAAAAAAATGTTTTTCAGTTTGAACATTAAAGATTGGCTTTGTAGTGTATTCAATTGAGTAGTTCCGAAAATAATTTGCAAATCATTGTATTGTGCTTTTCTTGACATTTTACTCAACATCCCAACTTCATTTCAATCTTACTTTTTTGTGCTATGTTTATGCAGCATTACAACTCACCTCCATCACCAGTATGTCTTTGGAACTTTGTTGTTGGACTTTGGGGTGTTGGACCTTAACAGCCACCGTCCTCCCATCATACAGCACTGCTTTATGGACCTGGGCTAAAGAGGCAGCTCCTTGAGGCGTCTCATCAAAGAAAGCAAACAACTCGGACAGCTGGAAGACAATAGTAGGGATGAAAAGAGAAACAGTCAATGAGGGTATGATACAATGAAAGTGAGGTGTACAGTCAGCGATTAACTCTCTGAGTGCTGACGGGGATCCTAACGAGGAGGGCTGTTGACGTCATTTACCGTTAAGTAATTTTATTTGTATAGCCTTTACCAACGAGTCTTCACACGCTCCCACTTGAGAAACTGGTATGATTCAAACCCCCAATTATAGATCAAATTTTGGAGGAAAGAAGACACCTAAAGATAAAAACTCAGATCTGACAAAAACATATTCAATATACTGTAATTTTATTGTGCCATTGTCCAAAAAAATACCAATTCCAATGTGCCAGTATCCAAAAGTCTAAGTGCCCCAAAGTGGCCCGGTCTGTGAGGGCCTTTCATAGCTCTCGTTGTTAGTTTCAATTTTGTTTCGTTTTGAAGAAAAAAAAAAAAAAAAAAAAAAATGAACAAATGATAGACCTTTTCTGGGGAGATTTTAACTGACCTGAGCCAGACAGCTCCCATTGCACCTGACTCCTATGGTCCCTCCCACAAATGTTGAGCCCATTGGAAGGAGGACCCACATTGTCTTTTTGGGCTGAGTCCAGCCTGGCCCCATGAGTGCAGGCCGGGCGATCAGGCACTCGCCATCGTAACTGAATTTGTAACTCAATTACGTTTTGGAAGAAGAAATTTGGAACTACACTATAGCTAAATGCTTTTTGACTAGAACATGCCCAACACTGGCCCAAGTGCACTGCCTGCTTGCATGTTGTCCGAGACACCCCATCACAGATCCCGTCGCAAAACAAAAATCCTTCCCTCACTGTGTGCAAATACTTGGCTTACTTGGAACCCTGATTATTTTGAGACTTTAAAATTAACTTTAGAGCAGTCGAAACAAAATGCAAACGGCTAATTTTGCCACTTCGCGCCCTTGTATGCTCATGTGCGGTGAGGCATATAACAGGTGTATGACTAATTACCCTGTATGTCAATCAACTCAACTCAACTGTATTTATAGAGCACTTTCAAACAGCCATCACTGCACACAAAGTGCTGTACATGGAGCAAGTAACATACACAACAGTAAAGCAACAAATCAGTAACAAAGACGGTAGAAAACACCGAACAGCAAAACCAATCAAGTGACACATTTCACAGTGGATGACAGGAGGTCTCAAGTCTTTTTTTCTTTTTCTTTTCTTTTTTTTTAACTCATTCACTGCCATTAGCAGGCACCTATATCGATAGCATAAACTGGGAGGGCTCACAGTGATTGAGTTAATGCCATGCGATCGACCGGCAACGCCCTTTCCAAGCTTCTGGTTGATTGTGAACAAGGAAATGGGAAGCCATGTCATACGGGGTCTTTTGAGCCGTGCTTTGTTTGTTTCTGCACCTAGGAATTGTGACTAACCCTCCCTGGGGCAAAAATGCCCTGACAGCTTAGCTTCCAGGATCATTGGGAGGACGCAAACAAAGGGAGGGGTGAAGTTTGACACAAACCTCACAGTTATCTACTCAGATTTTTTTGCTTGTTTTCAACTTGTTTGAGCACTCTGACCCACGATTTATTTTTTTAGATATCCAGAACATTCAACATAAGTAATCATTCCGTGATTTCCCGAACAAAATACGGACATGCCGTAAGAGTTGGCAACTCTGTCTATAAATGCGTCTTTTGTAGTAAATGACAAATAGCTACAAATTTGATGACTCAACCTTTCAACATATTGTCGAAGGGAAATCTAAAAACATAATTTGATTTCTTTATTTTTCACTACTCAGCTCTCTTTCTACACAGTTCTTTGATAAACAGCTCCAGTTACAACCTCGGGTCAAACTAAATTAAACCTTCACCTTGACAAAGTTTCTCTTTTCCAACTACTGATTGATTTCCCCCCTGGAGTCAACTTTGAAGATAGGTCTTTTTTCAAAGCATCCCTATATCATGTTCTTTTCTTATACGTTCCTTGCAAATATATATATATATATATATTCCAAAAACATGCATGGCATGCTGATTGAACACTCTAAAATTGTCCTGAGGTGTGAGTGTGAGCGCAGATGGGTGTTCATCTCTGTGTGCCCTGTGATTGGCTGGCAACCGGTTCAGGGTGTCCCACGCCTACTGCCCGAAGACAGCTGGGATAGTCTCCAGCACCCCCCGCGACCCTTGTGAGGATAAGCGGATCGGAAAATGGATGGATGGATATGTGTGTGTGTGTGTGTGTGTATATATATATATTCATATAAACTACAATTATAGTGTGTGAACCAGCTTAGGCTAAGATTCTATACTAGGAAAACAAGGTCAACTTAAACATAACATTGGCTAATCAACTGCAAGGTCAACATTGATTCGGTTATATACTGTATTAGATGATCCATTTCGCAAGCAGCAAGGGATTGTGCGTGGGAATAGCTGAGTTATTTATTATACAAATATGCTTAATGAAATGGCCTACACCCACTAATGTCTAACTAAATAGGATGATGACCACCCACTAGACCTGAAAGGAAAAGGCTGTCTTCATGTATGAAAGAAATATGTAATTTGCAGCATTTTTATGGAGCCACGAGAAATTGCTTGAAAAAAATAATGCTTGAAAATAGTTTAAAAAATTTCAAAGTCTGGAGTACCCACTTAAAATGCAGTAGTCCCACAACATGCACACAACCCAGTTACTATCACCTCACCTTTTTAGCATCGTATAAGAGGAAAGTAGTGAATTACATGATCGGCTGGACTTGACATGATCAAACAGTTTTTACCGAGAATTTTCGGAAAATTATCAATGTTAATTATTTTGATAAAAATGTTTACCGTAATTTTCGGACTATAAGCCGCTACTTTTGTCACACACTTTCAACCCTGCGTCTTATTTTATGATGTGGCCTGTTAAAAGATTTTTCCAATGGCCGCCAGGTAGCGCTCGAGCAGAAAAGGTAACAGTTGAGACGCTATCATGTGTCACAGTGAAAACAACTGGCCATGAGAGGGCGGACTTCACCTGTGTTTTGAGCTGGACTGCAATCCGAAAGCTGTGTGGCTGGGTCTATGACAGACTTGACCGAACAAAAAAATAATTTTTATGAAGGCTATATTCAAAAATGAACATAGAAAATGTACAGCATTAATAAAATAAAAGACTGAGATCTCAAATGGGACTAAAAAATAGAAAAGTGTACAAAAATAGACAACAGTCGTGGCTTATGAGCACTTTCTGGCATGTTTTATGTGCCCGAAACACGCGGAAAACAGCTAATCTCCCCTGCTTCATGGCTGTTCACACGACCCACCATGTGACACCCACGAGATTATCCAATACTCCTTTTAAAGTGACAGTGCTCCATTTATTAAACGAGACAGCATTCACTCCGACAGTCATAGTATTGTTCACCTGGTTACATCTGCCAAAAGAAAACCTCCCGAAAGACATTGTCGTGAAAATTGACACGAAAGCATGGCTGGTAGAAAGACTAATGAAGGAATGGTTGACCAAGTGTTACGGCTGTCATGTTCCGCCTTGCTTGTTTTGTTTCTTTGAGTATTTCAGCACCAGCTGGAGTGTGGGGCGTCACCTTCCAGCAGTGCACCTGTGCTGGATCAAGGCAATCTGTGCTGCCTACTTAAGACACCGACCACCTGTCTCCCTCGACGGACTATTGCTCTTGATCACCGCTTTTGCCCAAGTGCTTTGTTGTCTCTCGTTCATGCTTCTAGTCACCCTCCTCGTCATAGTCATTCGGGTTTGTGAGTATTTGTTTTGTCTTGGTATTGTACTTGGTTTCATTTTATTGTACTAACCTCGATTCGTATTATGATGTGATCGAAAATCATTCTATCCTTGTAATTGGCAAGCGCTTTGTGTTCTTGCTCGGTTTTTCTGGCTCCTTCTTTTGCCAGCACCTTTTGTTGAATACTTTGTCGGTCCCTCGCTTTTCCTTAATAAACCTTGTGTCATCGCCATTTATCTGAGTCTGCGTTTGTGGGATCCACACTGCATTCGGTCTGCGGTCAGACCACAACCTGTCAACGGCAAAGCAAGATTTTTATCATTTTAAAACAAAGCATTACTTGATAGGGAATGGTGCCCTTTTTTTTTTTTTTCCAAACCAGCCATGTGAGTGTTGTTTTACTGCCGTCCTGCTGCCGCATTATTTGGAAAGAAAAGTTAAGGTTAAGTTAATAAACGTTGAAAGCTCTTTCTGTGTACCGTCTTTCTTTGCAAATACCTCATGTTACAATCTGGGCACCTGCGGTTTATAGACAGGTACGGCTTGTGTGTGTACAAAGTGTTTTTTCCTTTAAAAATGTAGTGGGTGTGGCTTATAATCAGGTGTGCTCTATCGTCCGGAAATTACGGTATTTTTGTTTGTTTGTTTATTGTTTATTGAACATATAGAACATACAATACAATAACAGATTGACAAAAGTGAAGGCAAGTAAAAATTATAAAACGAAAAAATAAAGACAGACATCATCACAGTTTTATGTTCAAAGGAGTAGGAAGAAGTAAATAACTTATCTAGTCCTACCCCTTTTTTATGAATATGTAGTAGAAAATCAGAAAAGTGTAGGTTTATTTATCAACAATTTTGAAGCTAAAATGTCCTCCAATTCTGGAATGACCCAGATTATATCCAAACCAGCACACAAGCATTTGTACGGAACAAAGAGTAAAAGTAATGAGAACTGTCCTTTCCAGTTATTTTGGACATGAGACAACTCATAAGCAAATTCCTGATTGAAGTTGTTATCCTTAAAATAATTATTAAAAAAGTAAAACCTCTCCTCTCTCATGAACACTTTGAGAGAGTAATTCATGCCTTTGTCACATCCCGGCTTGATTACTGCAATGCCCTTTACTTTGGAGTCAGCCAGTCCTCCATTAAGCATTTGCAGTTGGTCCAGAATGCTGCTGCTCGCTTCTTGACTGGTACTCGTATCCCCTTAACTCCTACTCTGGCATCCCTTCGCTGGCTCTCTGTACA